CAAGAGCGATGGCCTCCAACCTAAGAGCAATGGCCTCCAACCTAAGAGCAAACCTGAGAGCGATTTCTTCCAACCTAAAACACTTTTGGCCTCACATCGTCGCTATCCAAGCAAACTCCGGCGCCTGCGCCGCCTTGCGGATGGCGCCGTTGTTTGCTGGGGCGACGCAGCTTGCGGCGGAGACCTGCCTCCTGGTGCTGTCCGACAACCTGTGGCTGCGCTCCAGTGCACCAACACGGCCTTCGCGGCGCTTTGTCGCGACGGCGCTGTATGCGCCTGGGGCGCGCCCGCCACTGGCGGCGACTTGGGCGGTGCACAGCCAGAGCTACACCACATCGTCGCTATCGGATTGTTTGCTGGGGCGCTTCTGCCTGCTGCGGTCGATTCCTGCACTGCCCGGCCCGCCCGGCCTGTGCCATTACGGCGATCCAAGCCGCCCGCGAGGCCTTTGCTGCTGGTTTGCGCAACGGCCGCGTTGCCACCTGGGGCGGCTCCCCACCAAGGCGGGGACAGCGCTGCTGTGCAGGGCGATCTGATGAATGTGGAGAGCGCTCAAAGAACTGCCTGGGCCTTTGCTGCGATCCTAAGTGATGGCAGCGTCGTGTCCTGGGGCGCGGCAAGGACGCTACTAGGAGCTCCTGGCATCGCGACCAGGAACAAGAAACTACTAGGGGCTCCTGGCCTTACTACTAGGAGCAAGGACGCTGCTAAAATCGCGACTAGCAACAAGACCTCACTCACTACGAGCAAGGACGCTACTAGGGCTCTTGGCCAACCTGAGAGCGATGGCCTCTAACCCAAGAGCGATTTCTTCCAACCTAATCTAAAGAGCGATGGCCTCCAACCTGAGAGCAATGCCCCCCAACCTAAGAGCAATGGCCTCCAACCTAAGAGCAATGGCCTCCAACCTAACCTAAGAGCGATGGCCGCGATGGCCTCCAACCTGAGACCGGCCGCCTCCAACTTAAGACCAATGGCCGGCCTTTAACATGAGAACGATGGCCTCCAACCTGAGAGCGATGGCCTCCAACCTAAGAGCGATG